CCAGAGCCTGTGGGCTCCAGGATGGGAACGCCAGACCCCGTGGGACTCTGGGGTGGCTCCTGCTGATGCATTCCTTCACCACCCACCTGACCACACCGGTACTGCAGCAGCAGGGGGGAAGGAGGCATTTCAAACACCCAAAAGAATGAACTCCCCCAGGAATGCTCCGAAGAGGAAGGAATCCCACACTGGACTGGCAGCAATGAGGCAGAGCCTTGCCTGGTGCCGCAGGGGTGGTGCCCTCATGGATCAGCCTGGGCTCACATGGAGCAAAAGCCCAGTTTGAGGCTCCTTCTGGTGTTGCTGCAGCGATTTTTGACTGGAGCTGCTCCCAGAGGGGGAATTGTCCCTGCCTGGAGCAGCTCAAGCTCAGTTCTCTGCAGCCTGACTGCAGCAGGGCTGGGCTGTGTCCTCCCAGTCTCTGCCTCTCCAAAGCCCGAGGGGCTCCGTGCCCAGGTGGAGCAGGGATGGAATGTCAGGCCTGGCTGTGGAGCAGCCCTGCAGGGGGATCCCGTGCTGTCACATGCAGCAGCCAGGACATCTCAGACACAGCCAGCCCTCTGTGTGAAACTGTTCCAGCTGATGAAAATGCTCTAAGATGTGTTTTTGCCTGGAGAAATCGGGAGAGTGTGTATTTACTTGTATTATAAAATGTTCATTTTAAACATACATGCTCCAGACTGTTTAATATTTTTTATCCCTGCAGCAACTGTCATGGCAAACAACTTCCACAACTGGAAAAAAACCCTTAGCACTTCTTTTTATGGTTCACATTTGCCAAATAAGTCTCATAACTTTGTCAGTGCTGTCCAATTATCTGTTTCTTTATATCTGCAGTGAATATCTTATGCATTTGTGCCAAAATATTAGAGGGGGAGGGGAGAAAGTGATAATCAGTTTCCTATGGAAATCTTTTTTTTTTCTTGTTTTTTTATCTACGAAAGACAAGCTGGATGTGGCTGTGGCAAGGACGGACTGGGATGGACTTGAGGACGGTTTTGATAAAGCTTTAGTCCTGCAAACTTCTGTGGGAATGCCCTGATCCACTGGGGGAACTGATTGGATCAAACAGCCACCAGGAATTCCATGCTGCTCCTTCTCCAAGACCTCTGCCAGCCTCTCCTGCTCTGCCAGACCCCAGCACCCCTGGAGCTGAGGGGACCCAGCGCCCCGGAACAGACCCCAGAGCCGCTGCTGCTCTTGGCTGCAGATGAAGGGATGGTCTGGGGAGTTGCAGAAACCAGGAATTGCTCGTGTAAACGTCTGAAATGCAAGGAGGACTCTCGGTGGTGGACGTGCTCCTGGCGACACAGGACTCTGGGATATCCTCTGGACTGGAGCTGCTCTGTGCAGCACAGCACAGCAGCACTGGAGGCTTTTAGGGTGTTTGATCCGTTAAGTTTTGCCATGTGTCTGATCCGAGTGACACCTCTGCCTGCACAGACTGGGGCAAAAGAGATCTGTATAAAAGAGGATTTTTGGGGCCATTTACAAAGCAGGTCTGTTGTCACCGTGAATTGGTTCAGCATTGGTTCAGATACACAGATGCAAAGAAAATATTACCCTGAATTTTGTAGAAATATTTGACTTTTGGCTGTTTAAAGGAGAAATGTGCTCTGTAAAATGGCCCCGGGTTTCCTCCATGAGTGTCTTATTTGCTTACTTTGGTGACAAATGTTGTTGTTGTTGTCCTCATAATCACAGAGGAAATTGGAACTCTGGTGCCTCCTGCATTAACCACAAAAATGACAAATCTGAAATCCCAGAGGCAGGAATTACAGGTGATGGTGTGAGCAGGAGCCCAGCCTGATCCAGAGGCCACGAGTGGGAATAAATCCCAACTTTAATAGGAAATTTGCACATGGAGTCACCTCCTCGGCCAACCTGGATTTCCGCTGGGAACCCGAGCTACAGCCCCTTGCTAAAGGATAATTAATTGCTGACCATTATTAATTGAGGCCTTTTGAAACCCAGCATTCAGATGATGCATAAAAACTTTGGTTAATCTCCCCTCATCATCCCTTAAATGACTTCCAGTGGAAATGTGAGCTGGCCCAGCAGTGCCGTGAGATAAAGGGGAGATTATCTCCACTCCAGCATTAATTTCCTCTCTCCCCTTTGTTTGCTGCTCCCTGATTCTGGAAGCTCTGGGGGTTCTGGAGTCACCTCGGGGAGCCCAGCAGAGCCTGGGGCCCTGGGCAGGGCATGGGGCTGAGCCCAAGGGTGTCCTGCCCACGCTGCCCTGCTGGGCACAGTTGCAGTGGAGGTGAATTCCCATTCCTGTGGCCACCAAGGCCCGGGAGCAGGGATTGGGCTGGGGTTGCTGGAGGCAGCAGGGCCCTGGGGGAGGCTTTGTTTGATTTCTCCTAGAACTTGATGAAAGCAGCTTTGGTGTGGAGCTCACAGGGCTGGGAGCAGCCTGCCCTGGCTCAGAGTGCAGCTCCAGGCTGGAATATCCTCTCGTTTTGTGGCAGGCTGGGCTCGTTTCTCCAGGATTTCACCCGGTTTTGTTCCTCCAGGGTCAGCAGCAGAGCTTTGACTCTTCCCTCGGTGTGGCTGCACAGCAGGGCCTGCTGCTGGCAGAGGACACCCAGGGCCCCGTGCTTTCCCAGGCTGTGGTGATCTGTGTGGTGTTCATGTATTGAATTGCAGGTTGTATTTTGTGTTAAGCTTGTCTTAGGAGTAATCCAGTGCTGTCCATTTGACTTAATCTCCAGCAATCAGTGTGCATATGCACAAAGATGGAGAAATCCCATCGGAAGGCGTTTCCCTGGAGCTCTGGCTGCCCCAGTGTGCCAGGAAAAGGCTGAGGGAGCCCCGAGTTACTCACAGTTTCCTCCCCCTTGGATCAGCGTGGTTGACCCCTGCAGGATCCTCTGCAGGGTGAAGGATGTTCAGGCCCCATCTCAAGCAGCCAGCCTGTGCCTTGAGCTGCTTCCCGACTGGAAAAGCAGGAAGAACCCAGCCCAGGGAAGGACTTCAGCCACGTCCATGGCACCCAGAGCTCTCCTGGCTCTCTGAGGGGCAGGAGGATGGGACCTCGTGGCTGTGCTAAGCTGGGATGAGAACCAGGCCCTCTCTAGTGGTGGCCTGAGCAGTGTGCCTGAGAAGTTAATGTTTTTTACTATGTACCTGCTTTTGTATTTATGTGTCTTTCTCAACTATTCAGATGAATCCAGTATTTAATTTTTAGCAGAAGGGGCAGTTAAGGACTCAGAGTATTAAATCTTCCATCTGCTCCTTGCTGATGATAGCTGGAAACGAGGAGTTTGTGATGTGAGAACAGAGCTGAGCACAAAGCCCCCCAAGCCCTCGGGAGCTGCGGTGCTGCTGCTGCTGCACCGAGCCGGGCTCTTGGTGCTCCTTGGGGCTTGATGGGGCTTTAAAAACCAAACCCTGTTTCTCCAGAGCTGCTTGGGTCATCCTCTGCCCCTGCTAGAACTGGCTGGGTCATCCTCTGCCCCTGCTAGAACTGGCTGGGTCATCCCCTGCCCCTCCAGCCCAGCTGGGCTCCGTGCTGGCCGTGCCGGGCCCGCAGCTCTGTCCCCGTTGATCCCGGGGAGCTGTGCCAGTCCCTCCTGTGCCACCTCCTGCCTTCCCCTGCAGCGTTACTGCCTTTGGTACTCGAGGCCTGTCCCTGTACGCCCTCCCTTTCCGTGTGGAACTGTAAGGTCTGGTTTTGACATTTTAATAAACTTTGATTTGAAAACTGAGGCTCCTGAGCAAATCAGGCTGTCGGAGGAGTGTGTGTAAGGACACGGATGGACACTGGGGAGTTGCCGTGGCAGTAACTGGGACACGGCAGCACCCTTAGGTTTGTGCAGTGACGGTCCTGCCCAGTACAGCACACAAGAGCTCAGTGACAGGTAAGACCCTGACCCTGTTCTTTTTACAGCTGGGGCAGTTTTGTTCAAGGATTTAAAGCCAAATATATAAAAAATAATTTTAAAATTGCATTTAGTTCTTTTAACGAATGGGACTTAGGGGTGAGTAGAGTGGAATTGTGTGCTCCAAGGATTTTCTGTCCAATTGCTGGAAGAGTCAGACACAGCTGAGCATTCACAGGTTCAAAGTGCCACTGGAATTCCACTGTAGGGAACTGGGGAGCAGTTACCAGCTCGGGAGAGCAGGAGCTGCAGAGGAACATGTCCTGCCGTGAGCGGGCCCCGGTTCCTGCCGCGTGTCCGCGGAGGAGCTGCGGGCACGAGCCCAGCCGTAAATCCTGGAGAAAACCCTGAAGGAGCAGATCCCTCCTTCCCTCCCGGACGAGCCTCCATGGCTGACTGTGCTCCCGGCGGGAAGGTGCTCCTGACCAGCCGCCAGGCCGCGATGCCCTGCCCGGGGCCGCACTCCAGCCGCCCTGGGCAGGGCAGGGCAGGGCAGGGCCGGTGCCCGCCCGGACGGCACAGGGCACAGCGCGGTCTGTGCTGTGAACTCCTCGCGGCCCCCCGAGGGTGTCGCTGGAATTCTCTGCTTTTGGGCTCTTTTTCCCGACAGGATTTACGAGAACACGTTTTCCACTCGGGTTTCCAGCCATGTGGTAATGAAGGGTCCGGCGCAGGCTCCGTGCCCGGCGGGCTGCAGACTCGGAGCGGAGCTGGGGGCTCTGCTGGCTGTCGCCTGCCTTCGGTGTCCCGGTCCCCACTGGAAACGCCAATGGCAGGAATTGAAATCCTCGAAGCCTCAGCCAAAACAAAGAGTGGACTGCCACGGTCTGGAAGGTGTGGCTGGGGCCAAAGCCGGGCTGGTGGCAGGGAAGCCTTTGCCATGGCCAGGAACGCCCGAGCTGGAACTGCCAGCCCAGCACTGGGAATGCTGCAGCAGCAACCAGCCCTGGACTGGGACAAGGGTGGCAAAGCTGGGGCTGTCCCTGCCCGTGGCAGCGTGGCACTGGGCCTGGAAGGGCACTGCCCACCCAAACCACTCTGGGATTCTGTGGAAACCAACTGGGAATTCTTCTGTGGTTGCTGCACGAAGAGAAGCCGAGTGACAGACACAACTTTGCTTTTCCGCTAATGCCCCTTTTATTCATTTCTGACACTTCTTATTTTGTAAAGAAATCCCATAGCCAAAACCAAAGGGTCTCTTCAGAAAAACCCCAAACAATCCACAAAAATAATTAACCACCAACAAAGTAAATCTTGATTTTAAACCACAACACAACGACCTCCAAGGATCATTAAATTATTTCCCAGTTTCTCCAGCCACACTTCCTGCCTCCATGATTTGTGCCCCTACAGACAAGACCCATATTTACAATAAATCGTGTTTAAAAGAGTTTTGAGTATGGGAATGAGCTGCTGCTATCTCATAGAAAGGCAGCAAAGTGCTAGGTTTTAACTGATAAGATCTCATTAAATTTAAAAAGTCACATCTCTATCACAACTCTAAAGAATGGGTTTATAAAGTGCCCAAGTCCATTTTTCCTTCGCTGCCTCCACTCTATTCCCTTGGCACTTTGGCCATTTATCACCATTGCACAACAAAGATTTAGAAAGGGCAGAAAGAATCTTCAGCTACCGAGACGCCAACATGGAAACCATTCCCTGCTTGGAATGAGCCACCTCCAGGTCTGTGCCACTCTCTGTGCTGGGAAGAAGACGTGGAGAACGGGAGAAGTGCAGTCCCAGCAAGGCCCAGCAGCTGCTTGGGAAGGTGTCCCTGGCAGGTGCTCCCTGGGGCGTCTCTGCATTCCAGAATTCTTCCCAAACCAGGTGCTTCACCATGGGGAGCTCCAGCTCAGGCTCCAGCTGAGAAACACTTCCCAAACTGCTCATGAGGCTGCGGTTCTTGTCCTCAAACGCTGCAGTTTTGATGCAGGAAATGACTCCCAGCATTCCAAGAAATGGATGAAATACATTCACCTTTGCTTCATCATTAAAAAGGGAATTCAGGGAGCACTGTGAAAGCCATCCAATAATCGATGGCAAACCCGTGTCCTGGGACTCGGCAATTTAGGGGACATTGGAAAAGTTAATTTTGGAATTCCTAACTGAGGGTGCTTAACAGGGTGGATTTTGAGATGGGAAAGTTCTTGGGGCCATATTCTTCCACATGGGAATCTGTTGGATCTCTTCCCACGGATCCAGTGCCTGAGCCTGCAGCAGAGGAGCCAGGGTGGCATCACCAGGCTCCACCTTCCTTCTCTGTCCGTGCAGAGGCTGTGCCCCGTGCTGCTGTGGCAGTGATGGGACTGGGACAGGACCAGGAATCCCTCTGAGCCCCGAGTTCCATGTCTGTCCGTGCAGAGGCTGTGCCCCGTGCTGCTGTGGCAGTGATGGGACTGGGACAGGACCAGGAATCCCTCTGAGCCCCGAGTTCCATGTCTGTCCGTGCAGAGGCTGTGCCCCGTGCTGCTGTGGCAGTGATGGGACTGGGACAGGACCAGGAATCCCTCTGAGCCCCGAGTTCCATGTCTGTCCGTGCAGAGGCTGTGCCCCGTGCTGCTGTGGCAGTGATGGGACTGGGACAGGACCAGGAATCCCTCTGAGCCCCGTGCCCGAGGCACACCGGGGTGTGCGCACCGAGCACGTCCGGGGCACCGGGGTGTTTGGGACCCCAGCGCTGGGAACCGAGCACAGAACTGAGGACAGAGCTCCCCAGAGCAGCTCCCTGCATTCTGCCACGCCTTGCACAAGGTCTGGGCAGGGAATTCCACCCTGGAGCAGCAGCAGCAATCTGGCATTTCACTGGGAATCCAGGGAGTGTGGACAACACCTGGCATTCCAGAGATGCCCCATCCCTACAGGCAAAATCCAAACAGAACCCGGGCTGGGGCCACGTGTAATGGCTTTGGCACTTGGCAGCATGGAGCCCCCAGCCCTGGCACAACATCCCCCACAGGCACAGCCCAGCAACTCCTGCTCATGGCACATCCAAATCTGGCCAGTCTGAACTGGGAAAAGCTCCATGAAACCATCAAAGAGCCCCAGAGCTGAAAAATGGAGCTTGGAATTCAGGAGTCACTTCCCAAGCCCCAGCCCTGTGTGCAGAGATAACTGGAGTACATTTGTTTATTTAAACCCCAGAGAGGAAATCATAAAAATGTTCATTTGAAAAATGTAAACTCATCCCTGTTTCCTTGAATCACACACGTGTCACCTTCCAACATCCTCAGGGAGAGGAGGCAGGACACTCAGACAAAGCCTCTGGAGCCAGGAGATGTTGTGGAATGTGGAACATGGGGAATGCTGTCACCAAGGGAAGCAGCTACAGCTAAAAGGGGTTTTTGGCAATGAACACTAATTCAGGGAAGGATCATTCCCTCAGGATTGCTCTGGCACCTCCAGCTGCAGAGGAATTCAGTTTTCTTCATCCGAGGAGAGACCTTCAATCTCATCCCTGTCTCCTCCAATCGCCATCCAGAAGGCTTTGGCCACCTACAATGGCAAAAAAGATGGGAAAGGGAGAACATTCCCATCAAATGGCTGAAGGTTTTGTATTTCCCATCCAAAGAGTAGGAACCGAGCAGCAGCTCAATCTGGCAAGCAGGTCTGTAAGTGTAATCCTCTCTGAGGTGAAGGAATTTCAGAGGCACAGAGGCAATGGTTCAGGTCAGGCACCTGGGATACAAAACCTGTGCTATTTAAGGCATCATTAAATTTTCCAGAGATCCACTTTTCCATTGACCTGTGGAAGCTGGCCAGCACCCCCAGTGACTGCAGGGCTTTCAGTCTTTTTTTTATGGCAGTGGGGTGGAATGAAATGATCTTTAGGGTCTCTTCCAACCCAAACCATTCCAGGATTTTATGCTTTTCTGATATTTCAAACTTCCACATTATTCAATTTTTGGGAGATACCTGACATGTCTTCCCTAGGACTGTGTGGTTTGTTCTCTCTACTCTTAATCCAGGAACTCTCCAGGAGCAGGAACTGTGGCGTGGAAAGAAAACACCCATTTGATTGATTCCCACCCCAGTTCCAAAGGCTCACCTTCTCTGCGTGCAGCTTCCTCTGCTCGTGAGGCAGCGTGGCAGCTTTGTCTGTGGGAAGGAGAGGATTGGGGTTGTGAAGCTCAGGAGTGAGCAGTGAGCACCTCCTGCTCCTGGATTTGGGAACTCCAGGGCACCTCCTGCACCTGGATTTGGGAACTCCAGGGCACCTCCTGCTCCTGGATTGGGGAACTCCAGGGCACCTCCTGCTCCTGGATTTGGGAACTCCAGGGCACCTCCTGCTCCTGGATTTGGGAACTCCAGGGCACCTCCTGCTCCTGGATTTGGGAACTCCAGGGCACCTCCTGCACCTGGATTTGGGAACTCCAGGGCACCTCCTGCTCCTGGATATGGGAACTCCCAGAGTTGCTTTCAAGAGCATTATCAAGATGAAGGGTGAATGAATGGAAAGAGCAGCTACTTCTAAAGGACTTGAGGCAGGAGAACAGGAATTTCACAGCCTCCCAACTCACTCCTGGCTCTCTCCGAGCCCCTGCAGGAGGTGCCAGAGCTCAGGTCCAGCTCTCCTGGTGCGTTACCTTTCATTTCTTTCAGCTTTGAGAAGAGCCTTTCGAAGTTCCCCAGGTCCCCATCCCTCGTGGTCAGGCTGGCCAGCTCCTGGATGTCCATATCCAGCATGGGATCTGAAAGAGAGCTCGGTTGAAGAGAAATGACTCTGCTTTCTCACTAGAAAACCAGGATTTTAACAGCTGCAAATTCCATTTGCAAATCCCAATGTCATAGGAGAGAAAGAAACAATTTACTGATTGCTCATACAGACAAATCATGGCATTGTTACAGTGGTGATTAATTTTATGGAAGGAATTCATCCCTGTGAGGGTGGCAGGCCCTGGCACAGGTGCCCAGAGCAGCTGTGGCTGCCCCTGGATCCCTGAAGGCCAGGTTGGACAGGGCTTGGAGCAGCCTGGGACAGTGGAAGGTGTCCCTGCCATGGCAGGGGTGCAATGGGATGATTTTTAAAGTCCCTTCTAACCCAAAATACTCCAGATTCCATGGTTCAGTGATACATTACACGTGAGCTCATCCAGTAGTTAAGATTTTTTGCTGATTCCAGGATCTGTCCAGAAACAGCCACAGAGTGAATCAAAGAGTGATGAGCTGTGCTGAGACCACATCAAGCATGCAGATCTCACCCCCAGCTGTAAGGCAGTCCCATCTCTTGGAATGCTGCAGGGATTTAAGGACTCTCCTTTGTCCCCCACTTTCCTCTGGGGCCAGGGGCTCTGTGCTGAGCTCACCTGCAGCACTGTCAGGCTCCAGGCTGTTTGTGCCAGCTCCATCCTCTCCACCATCTGATTCTTCCCTGTCTCCTGGAGAAGGGTTGGACTGTCAGGAAACAGAGATATTTCAGAATCCAGCAATGCATGAAAAAACAGCAGCAGCAAATCAGGTGCCTCCTGCTTTTCCTTCAAAACCTTGCACTTTATCTCAAAGTGTTACTGCAAAACCTGTGCCATGAGAAGCCCCTTCTGCAGCACTGGGAATTGGTGCTGCATGAAGGGATTTCAGCATGGATTTGTTGGTGTTTTTCAAATAACACCACAAAACGACAGGTTTTCTTTTACCCAAAGGGAATCATTTGGATATAATCACACCCATCCTGAGTGGAGCTTTTAGTGCTCCTCCCTTTGGCTCTGAGGCACAGTGGGGAGGTCCCAGGCACCCCCCAATGGATGCAGGCAGGGCCTGAGCAGAGCAGGAACCAGGAATTACTGGAATTACTGTTTACTTCTGTCTCCGGGGTCTCTTCACAGCCACGGCTCCTGGTTGCTCCTGCCAAGGTGCTGAGCAGACCAAAGCCCTGGGTCCTGTCTGCAAACAAAGCACAAAGTGCAAAATTACTGCAAATACTGGGACTGGCCAGGTGGGAGAGGGAGTGTTCCACAGCACCCCGGAAAACTGTGCCAGTGCACTTGGAAACAGAACTTAAGCTGAAATTTCACATCAACTCTAAGCTTTAAACTGTGCCTGCACCATTTGCTACCAAATGTTCCCCCAGGGAAGAGATGTGTGGCCACAGGAGATGTGGGGTCTTTCTTTCTAAAGCTCGTTGGAAGCCTCTGCTCTGTTGGGATCTGAGCTGGAAAATTCCAAACGAGGCAGCTGGAAAATCCAAAGCAGAATTTGCTGTTCCTGGTGCTCAGGTTTAGCCTCCATGGGAAGCAGCACCGAGTCTGAGCTTGGATTCAGGAAAGGCAACGAGAGCCTTTGCTCACACATTGTCTGAACAGGCTGAGCACGACAGTCACGGCAGAGAAAATTGTTAAATATGGAATTCAGAATTCCTGGGTGGATTCATCCATCAAATCCAGGGTTTCTTCTCACTGCAAGGTGCTCTGGGCTCTCCCCACTGCTGGCCTAGGGTGTATCTCGGTGCTCTTTTAAAGCCCAGCCTAAAAAGTGATTTCAAACCTGAACAGTCATCTAAGATAATAAATGTGGTGCGGTATTTTTAATTTAAACTGGCTGTATTTTAAAACCTGTTTTATATAAAAATATGTGCATAATGGGTGATATGATGAGGTGTTTTTTACCAAGTCAGGTTTTTCTAAGTCAGTTTACTACTCCTTACAAACTGGCCTTGCACTGAGTAGTAAATATTTGCAGTTACACAAGGCACTCAGGAGATTTTTCTGCAAACCTTCATATTTTAGTCAACTAAAACTGAAATTATGTGAAGCTGTTGTACCAGAAATAGCCAGGAAACAATGACTTCTGCCAGAAGAAAGATTTAATGTTACTTTTTACAAGAAGTATGTTCTAAATTATTACACTCATGACTAAGCTCTAGACTCAACTGTTGAGGTGATGTCATTTGGATGCTCTGTCCAAATTTCCCTGCCATTTCTCCAGACTCTCATTTTGAGGGGTTGGATGTGTAACTGAGCCCATCCAGCACTCACACAAACACATCTCCAAGAGAGAATTCCTGAGCCCCCACTCCCTGTTCCCTGCTCCTGCAGCTGATCTGTTCTGCCCCATCCCTGGCACGTGTTTGGGGCCACTGGCTCTGCTTTATCCCCTTTTGCTGCTTTAACAGATCCCTGGCCAAAGGGTGGGGAGAAGTGAATCAGGGGAGCTGAATGAATTCCCTGGAAAACGTTCAGCTGCCCATGAAGCCCAGCAGGTCAATGAACAGGAGCTGGAGGATGAAAGTTTGGGATTTGCATCCCACAGCAAAGCAGCTTCCCCAAGTTTCACGGGCTGAGCAGAGAGCTGGCTTTGGGGAAGCTGTGAAGGTGGACATGGAGCCAATTTCTGAGTCACCTCAAGCAAGGCTGGACACTGCAGTGCAGAATGTCCTGCAGAGAGAACATTCCCACACTGGCAGAGGGGTGGATGCAGTGATCTAATCATGGCCCTCGTTCATAGCTGGGATTAGAGTTTGTCCTGCACAGAAAAATGGCAGGGGCTCCACATTCCCTCCCCCATCCCTGCAGAACCTCAGCCAGAATTATTGCAAATGTCATCCCTTTCTGAAAAACCTGGAGTGTGCAGCAGGGATCTCTGAACAGCAGCTATTTGTCCCTGGATCCGTGTTTAGGGAGGAGGCAGACACAACACTTGGTTGCAGGCACACCCTTGGAAAACCCTTCCTATAAACTCCTTTTATTGGATGTAAAAGTTACTTCAACTTCTGGGTGCAATTCAGGAAGTGGGTGATGCCTTACACAGTGTTCTTAAGGCAGGAAAGCCAAAAATTAGCTCATCCCACTTATTGGAGGAGTCAGTGGCTACGATGGAGCCCAGAGCAGCTGGGGCTGCCCCTGGATCCCTGGAATGTGCCGGGCCAGGCTGGACAGGGCTGGGAGCAGCCTGGGGCATGGGAGGTGTCCCTGCCATGGCAGGGGTGGAATGGGATGGGATTTAGGGTCCCTTCCCACCCAAACCATTCCAGATCCCTGTGCAGTTTCACAGGAATCACTCATAATGCTCTGAACATGGATTCAGTATTCCCAGATTCCTGTTTCATAGCCAAGTGTTTTCTACTGCCTTTATCCATTATTATTCCTCCAGTCTGTCTCCAGCTGACACATGGTGATCCTTATACATAAAATTGGAATTAACACATCAAAATTCACAATTTGTTTGAACGGCCTCCCTAAATCAGGTTAATTGGCTGTGATTAGAGCCAGGCTCATTCCTGGCCCCACCTGAGGTAAGCAGCTTCACCTGGGATCACTCAAGCTGGGATTTAAGCAGGAAAGAAGCCAAGCAGCCTCTTCAAGAGGGCTGGAAATGGTTTCTCTTCTTGCCACAGAGGCTCTTGCAGGGACTGAGAAGGCAACAGCAGTTTAATACCTATGTGGGGAGGGAAATGTGCTACCTGGAGAATCCCTCATGTTCTCCTGCTCAAGAAAACTTCCAGAGACTGAAGGGAGCTCCAAGGCCTGGGGAACCAACTTTACACCAGCTCCAGAAGGGATTTGCTCCTGGGAGACTCCCAGGTAAGACTGCTTGTGTGGCTTGGAGTAGAGATAATGCTGTTCCACTTACTCACAAAGCATGTGGGATTGGTTACTTGGTGTAAACTTGTTTCTAATTCAACTGTGTTACATTTAACAATTCTTTTTATGGATCTGTGTGAGAATGATGCAGTTAATGGTGGGAGAAAAAAATCTGAACTTGAAAATTTTAATTAATAGGTATGTGAAAAAACCCTGTAGCTTGAGAATTGTGTTAGGGCTTAATGCAATAAAATATTGTGAGTTTGGTGTTTGTGCTTGAAAAAAGTTATTCCTGCTCTGTCTGTAAATCTAAATTCTCATGGAAATGGGTTTTTGAATTCAGGCAATGCTGTTGAATTAAGGCTACACCTAACAGTGCTGTAAGTATTTGCTACTCCACATTTACTACTGGAGCTCTCTTAAGGTCTCTGATAACTCTTCCCTGCATGGTTTTCAACCAGCCAGGAATTACAGTTCATTCAGGGGAAAAGCTGAGGCTGGATTTACATGGCAGTTTCTAGGATCTGGAGGAAGCTGAAAACAAAAGATATGTTACAGGTTGTAAAAAGTTTTATTTTAAGCAAAATGAGCTCAACAATTTCCCTTTGAAGGCACAGTCAGGCTGCAACACCTTCCAAATATAGCTCACTTCCTGAGGGGTTTGTGCTGGTACAGCAGTGCTGTGTGGGGCTGGTGCTGTGCAGAGAGAAAATCAGGATTTTTCAAGGAGTCTGACCTTTACAGAACACACCAGTGATGTGCAGGAATTTCCCCCCTGTGAAGAACTGAGCATGTGACTAAATTCTGCTGTTCTGTAAGGTGGCATCTGCCAAATACAGGAAATGTCTTGTTAAAAACCCAATTTTAGCACAAGCGAGATAACCTGATGCCATCTGCCAAGGTTACCTGGTTCTCTGCAATGGTTCCACTGAATCAGACCCCACCTGCACCTCAGTGCTGATGGGGAATGAGAAATCCTCAAAAAGCTGCGTTAAAAATGCAGGTTAATAATTCTCATCCTGGTTTTACTGAGTCCCAGCAAGCACCCTGCAGACACAGACATTAACAGCAGCCTCTGAGCTTTAAATCATTCCACGGTTAATTGCTGTAGGAAGGGAGAAGCCACAGCAATGGGAAATGGGACATCAGGGAGCAGAGAGGTGTTGGAAGGTTGGCAGTGGGATGAGGCTCTGTGAACAATAAAGTCCAGGCCAAGCACTCCTGAAAGGTTTAATCTTCCTACGTTTTCTGCAGCAGTTTGTGTGATTAGAAAGGTAATCAAAGGTTTTCAAGTAAATGGAAGGCACAGCATTTCCTTTTCTGATGAGTCTAAGGCTAAAGTGATTTTTCCACAATTTTAACTCCACCTAATAATCAGCTTCCCCAGGAAATTATCTGGGGTTGCCCATTTTTTGCACTGTTGTCAAAAATTTCTGTGGTTTCCATGTATTCAAGTGGGGTTTTCTGTAGCAAAAACAGCCCTTAAACGTTTGACATGACTCCTTTGCCAAATCTCATCTCTGCACTTGCTGTCCTCTTCCTTTACTTCTACACTGAATCTTGTATCAGTCTGATAAAGCTCATAATTACAACCTATTTCCTACTAGAGCTTGGTGGAACAAACTTTGAGTTTTCATTGCAACCTGCAGAATTAATGGAATACTTAACTCAAATTACTGGTAGAGTATGAGTTAAAGTAGAGAGGGAGCAGGTGCTGGAACAGGAGGAAGTTTTACACAGAAATCCTTTCCTGTGAGGGTGGCGAGGCCCTGGCACAGAGAAGTTGTGGCTGGAAGTGTCCAAAGCCAGGCTGGGTGAGCTTGGAGCACCCTGGGACAGAGAATAAGCTGAGCTTTAAGGTCCCTCCCAACCCAAAGCATGCCAGGATTCCGTGATAAATCTCACCCACTGCTGTGAGCTCATCAGGACACGGAGGGAGGATGAAAGCAGTGCCTGGAGCCTCCTGCTCCCTGGGGCAGGTCCCAGAGTGCTCCAGCTGTGCCTGCGCTGACCCAGCTGCTCCCCCTGAACTCCCCCAGCCCTGCAGAGCTGGGCCAGGCCCAGGGGCACCCACCTCCCTTGATGAGCACGTTGGACCAGACGTTGGCGTTGAGGGCCTGCACGATGCGCTTCACTCCGGTGGACTCGGGGAAATCGTCTGCACCAAACACAGAGAGCGACTCTGAAACCCTTCAGAACAACCCAAAAACCACCACAGGCCTCCAGAGAGGGGCTGGAGGCCTGTCCTGTCTTCTCACAATCATTGTCAATTCTGCTCCTGATACAAAACACAGATCTTTCGCCTTTGATTGATGAGAGGCCAAGGAAAATAAATTAATGCCTCATTCTTGGGCTGAGCTTCCAGGGATAATGTGCTCAGCGTTTTGCAGATATCTAAATTCTTTTTGTTAAATATTTAGCAGGAGGCCTACATTAAGTAACATCTTCATAGCATATTATAAAAGTATAATACACTTTAATAAAAATATATAATAATTATAACGATTAATAAATAATAAACAATAAACTAGTAAATTATAATAATAACTATAATAATATAAAAGTATATTATACTTTATATATATATAAATTTTACAGTAACAGACAGGAAACTTGAATCTTTCACCCCAAGGTCTTTTACAATCCTGCATCATAGAAATATATTATAAAATAGATATTAGAATTACTTTTCTTTCTTTTAGAAAGTACAGAACTTGAGAAAACCATTTAAAAAGGGTGTGATGCCTGTAAACAATGGAAAGGAATATTTGTAAAGCTGTCCCCACAATATCAAACTACAAAAGTTCCAGTAACCCTGGGAATTACAGGAACTTGAAAGCCCAGGGAAAGCATTATTCAGATTTTAATTTATTTACTGAATAGATCTGACACCACTTCGGATCAAGTCAGTTTTCCCATTTCCTCAGTTTAGTCAGCTTCCCATGTTTGTGCAGGTTGACAAAGGGGAAAAAAACCCAAACAATCCTTTGGATACAGAAGTGTTTTTGTTTAGAAATCAAACTCAAGTAACTCAGGTGCAGTAACTGAAACTGCCTTTAGAAATGCATTTAAGGCTGAAATCAGATGTTTTGCCCTCTGGGCTGCTGTTTGATTTGATATCAGAGTCATTATCAAGAGTCTCAGTTCAGAGCTCTTGTCCTGACTCTGCCAACAGCTGACAATGAGTCAAAAGAAAAGTTCCAGTTTATTTGAGATGAGCTGCCTGAAATGTCAGAATCTCGAGCAGAGATTGGCCCAGTGTGTTTACAGCATCTGTTGTGCCTTTTGTAACTCACTCAAAATGTTTGGGGGGTAAATAAGTTACTCACAGGAACACAGTTCCTCCTCTGCATGAGTCACAGTGAATCAACTACCAGATTAAACAGCTAGGAAAGAACATGTATCCCAATATTCCAAAAATTAACATCCTGAGTTGTTATTGCTCCCATTAAATAAATGCTAAAGAGCTTGTTCCCATAAATGGTAAAGAGCTTGTTCTTTACAGCAATTATTCAGTAGAAAAATATCTTGATTTAAGGTTACTATTTTTAAAGCAATTAGTGTTTGTTTAGTCTAAGGAGTCTTCACTTCCGATTTTCCCAGTTTCTGTGAATCAAATCTGTGAATCTCCCTCCTTGACTGAAAAAATGGGAAACCTTTTTAAGGGCATGGTGGGGAGAGAGGGAGCTCCTCAAGATCCAATTTCAGTAGGCCTTTAAAGGGGAGAAAGGGGTGTTCCAGTGAGGATTTTATAGTGAATTATTTTTGGTGACTGCAATGTGCTTGGAGAACCTGAAATAGAGCAAATGTTAGCGACTAATTCCTCTCCAGCCTGCAGTTATCTCATTTTCCTCCAGAGAGGTAAGGTGTAAATGCTTTTTTGTGTCACTGGAGTGAGGAGATAAGGCTGATGCTGATAAGGCTGTCAGGAAGTGCACGGTCACTTTTCACGAGTGGAACACCACACTTCTGACTCTTCTTGCTGGCTTTTTGTTTTTTTTAAGTTAAAAATGTTGGGCAGCCAGTGATTCTGAAACTGATTTATTTCCTGTGTAACAGCTCGTGTTGCTCTGAAATGTTTTTAACAAGCTGCCATTTTCAGCCTATCATGTCAGTTTGTACCAAGATAGCATAAAGTAGTTTTCAAGTCTTTTTAAAACCAGAATTTTTCTGCCCCCATGCAGAAAAATGTTTCTTTAGATTGATTTTCCAAGTGGAATATAAACTTCTGATGTATCAATAGAGTCCTAGGGCAGTGCCAGAAAAAGAAGCAGATATTATTTTTATGTAGGTCCCGCATAAACAGCAGCTGGATTTGGGAGGGGACAAATGGAATTTCTCAGAGGAAATAACCTCCTCCCCCTCATGACCTTTTACAGCTGAGACTCAGCCCTACCAACTGGGAGCATTCCATGCTGTAACGATGTGGCATATCAGAAATTGCAAGGGGCATAACTTTATTTAGAAGGTATTTTTGGGGCACTTTTTCATTCTCAAAATGGCAAGAGAAGCAGCAGACCTACCATCTTCATCAGGCAGCTCCTCAGGGCTGAGCTCTACCAGCTCAAAGCCATGCTTGATGCACCATTCTTGAGCTTTCTGTCTGTTTACACCTAAATTGGGAGACAAAAATGGGTATTAAAGGTGCAGATTTGAGACCAGCACTAGCATTATTTATCAGAATATTTAGCTGTGTTTTAGTCCCTCAAAGTTGTTTGCTTGCTCTGGAGTGTATGGCAAAGTGCATAGCAGCTGACATGGATCCTCCATTCACTGTGGGTTCCAAAAATAGAGTTAAAACTCCTGCTTGGAACTGAGGAACAGAATAGAATAGTTTTGCAGAGGGTAAATGTAGGTGTGAATGAAGACTTCTGTTAACTCTGGGTTTGACACTGAATTAAGCTGCAGGGACACACCTGCATCTCCCAGCTTGCTGTTGTCTAGAGCCACAGCAAATGTGTCTGCTCCATGTCCAAATGTCAAAAAAAATGGCATTAGCAACCAAGTCCTCCCCATTTTTCTCAGCAGGATCGTGCACATCCAGCAGCAGGAATGCCTTTTAGTCCCCCTGCAGTGGCAGGACAGAGCTGACTGAGCAATCTGGTAAAATTCTGACTCGGTTCTAACCACATCCCACTGAAGGTTTCAGCTCCTGCTCCCCAGAGCTCTCCAGGCCACTCTCACCCAGAATCTGAGAAGCAAATGTTGATGTCATTAGAAAGTTAATTATTATGCAGGTTAATGGCTCTGAGTGAGGATGGGAGTTTTTGGGTCTCCTACCATTCTCAGATACTCTGTCACAAACCAGGATCATCACTTCTGGCAGCCACTCTTCTGTCAGGGGCAGCCATTCAGAGACACCCTCCAGTCCAGTTTTCTACAGGGGAAAAGAAAAGTCTTCTTTGGAATACATCCTACAATAGTTTTTAATAGTATTAGAACTGAATTATATAAAGAAATAGGCTTTTTTTGTCTCAACCTTTCTGGTTTCTGCTGAAACAGTTTTCACTGCTGCTGGTTTAGTAGAACCAGTTTTGGGTGAAATGCCCTGAATTTAGTTTAGCTCCCTAAATTGTGTCTGTCCCAAAAGAGCCTTTAAGAAGCAGCAGCAGCTAGGAATAAATAAGGAGATGGTGAGCTGGATTTGCCACGGTGGCATAATGACTCCTGAAAACCCCTCTTCCAGCTGGAGGAGAGTAGCAAGAGAGAAGGAAACTGCTGCTATTGTTAGCAGGGAAATTTAATATTTAGTATTTATTACTGATCTTCTGCCAATGAGTAGAACAGCTTAAAGGGGATGGATGGAGGTTCTGATTTATGGTTCTCACTGTGACAGGGCAGCTACATGAGAGATAAAGTAGGAGAATGAAGCAAAGAGCCTTACTGTTGTGCTGTCAAAGTACACAACAAACGCCTGCACAGCCTCGGCGATCTCTCCAGTCACGTGGAATGTGTTTGGGACCACACAGAGGTGGATGTCTGCAGAGTAGTATTTGTTATCTATTGTCCAGGGGTAGAAATTCACTCTTCCACTCGTTATTGCACCCACGGTAAGGTCATCTTTTCCTGTGATACCTGCAAGACAGAAAAAGGGTGAGGAGGAGGGTAAAACCAACAGCAAGAAAATAATTTGTCCAGGAAAGTAGAGTGCCAAAGCAGATCCATCTCTATTATAATAAACTAGTGCATAATCAAGATCTTTAAAAATTCAACTCAATTTGCTATTCTGTCCTAGATTTTATGGCTTAGCTTTCAGAAGAGTTTATGTTCTAGTTTTCAATATAAAATATGGCCCAGAAGCTGCAGAAAGCCTTTTGTTTTCCTAGAAATGCCCTTTCAAGTGTTAACCTCAAACTTAGTATCCGTTAACAGGATGTATGGAGAAGAAACCTAAATTTTATTACAACCCTTGCATGCTCATTGAGATGTAAAGATCTGTTTACCTGCGACCAAAACCTGAAGGTAACTAATGAGAAAATAAAGCCAGTTCCTACAATTCAGCTGGAATTCCCATGAAATTCCATGCAGGAGCTCAAGCATTAGGATCCAGTGCTTTGCTCAGGTGCTGCCAAGCTCTGCCCTCCAAGGTAGGAACCTTCCCAGGAACTCTCCTGGAGCTGAAGCAGAGCATCCCATTATTCCTTGAGGGAAAGGCCAGGAAATCTTGTTCAGGCTGGATGAACTCGTGGGCACTTTAGAACACAAGGTCAATTATTTCTAAAATGGACTGAGTCATCCAGAATTGCCTCAGGCAGGAGAAGAGTTAAAGAATAAAGTACATGGCTTTTCAAGGATTTGTATTTTAAGGTACTGAGAGTTCCTGGAGCTGCTGGAACAGGCTGTTCCAAAAAGTCTGGAGATGAATTTGAATTTATCTGTATCTTATTAGTAAAGAGACAGGAAAACCTCCTTGCCAAGGCTGCAGTGATTTTTACAAGTAAACTGCAAAGCTGAGAAATGGATCTGGTGAATGAGCACAGGGCACGAGGCAGGGAGAGCTGCAAACCAGGATTATTTGCAGCCCTGAGGAGGAGGTGGAATCTGAGGGAGAAATGTGACCTTGGAAACAGAAACCTGTAGCCATTTCCTCTTTAAGAGGATGAAATAGGAGTCTCCTCTCTGGGCTTCTTAAAATAAGAAGTGCCACATCTCAATGACTTTTCCAGGTTCAAGTTTTATTTTATTGTTGGATGGCAATTATTTTTCAGAATATCTGGTCTTTAATCAGATGATATTCCATGCAAAGATTATCCACCTCACTTTGGAGCTGGGGGACAAAGATCTGAGTCACGACCGAACAAACCTGGATTCTGAGCTCTGTATTCTCAGAGGTTTTGTTTTGAATATGATATTAATTTCCCCTTGCTAGTGTTTTGACAGTTAAAAATAAGTAACTAAATTAAAATCAGTCTGAGCTAACAGAATTACAAGTCAGTGCCATAGGAGGTTAAGAACAAAAGGGTGCACAGAAATTACTGAAACCCAGGAAATCAGCAGGAAGACTTAGGGAGGAAAATGGGGTGAGGAAGGAAATCAGCTCTAAAGTCACCTGAGTCAGTCACCCTAACAAGGATACAAAGGGAAAGAACTTTCATAAAAAGTTTTCAAAAGCTGATATGGATTTCACATTTGCTTTGTAAGGGATATCTATTTTAGAAGAGTCCATGGACAAATTTAGGTCTCAAAGCACTGCTAGAATGAGGCCATGTCCCATTTCCTATTATTTGCTACTTGTTCCTGTATTTTAAGGGGTTTTCTTTCATCCCATTGTGCTGCTGATTACCCATCCTTCATGCTGAGGTTTTGCCAATTCCCTGTGAAATTTCTCTCCCAGTAAAAAATGGACGTTGCACACTAAACTCCAAAGGCTTCAGGAACCTGGTGAAAGGATTCAGACCTGCTGTGCTCGGGCTGCTTGTGGGGCTGTAAGAAATCACTGCAGGAAACTGAGCAGTTTGTCAGTTTTCTCCCCAAAAAGTCACTTGGAACAGTTTGGTTTTAGTCTGTAGAGCAAATAAGCAGAGACTACAAAAGAAACATACACTGTAACTCAAACTGAGTTCTCATTTGATGCAGGAATTAGCTTTAAGGGCTGTATTTACCACCCCAGTATTTCAGAAATTTCTTTTCTAGACAGCCTGGATTTGAATGAATACAGGAAATTCAGCCAGAGGAGTTTGGTGTCTAATTTAGGGGGAAATGATGAGAATAAACTCCTAGAAAATTAACATGGCAAAAGGAGGTGGCTTGTCCAGCTGAGCCCTTCTGAGGGAGTTCCTCCTTTTTCATGTGCAACTGCTCAGCCAGGGGATGATCTGAAGCCAGTTTTGGCTGCTCCAGCATCACCTCCTGCAGCCTCCAAAGGCCTGTCCTGCACTGGGTGATTCCCCTTCTCCAGGTGATCCCATGAGTGGTTTTGCTCTTTTTGTACCAGAAACCATTAAATAACAAACAGCAGCTGACACACGAGATCAGTTCGTGGCTCAGGAACTGACCCTGCCTGGTGTCACACAGCTCCAGAACTTCCAAACTTCTCTGGAACCTCTCCAGAGGAAAAGGTTTCATTCCTTCCAGGCACTCAGTCACTGCCTTCTGTTTTTCAGCAAGTTCACCAGCTGTGTCCCTTCTTCACTCACAAGTATTTATATATTTTAATAAACCAGACAATAGGTAGGTGTATGTGTGTATATATATATATATATATAATATTTTGGGAATTATTTTCAGCTATTAACAAAAATGTTCCCTCATTTTACTGACTTAAATATTGACATTTAATTTCGTATTTTATCATACAGATAAGATAAATAATCATTTTGAACACAAGCAAGAACATGACAATATTATAAAATCTCACATCCCCTCCCATTTTTAATGCTGAATCTTGTTAAGTCTTCTGAAAGTGCAAATACACTTGAAAAAGGGGAGTTGAAGACCAGAAATAACTTTTCAGAAGAGTTAAATAATCAGAGAATCACATGTAGCTCTCTTGCAGTAGTTCTCTAATACCCAAGTGCTATTTAGGCACTTTTAGTACATTATGTGTCTAATAATAATTTTTAAAATTATTACGATTTCTTTATGCAGGTTTTTTCCCCCGAAGAGATTGATACTGACCACTTTTCATAGTGCTTTTCAGACTGAATTAATGTTTTAAGAACATTATGCCCTAAATGCTCCCAAATCCTCAGCTGTCAGGTACACGGAATGGTTCCCACATTCTGGGCCTTGAGAGCCACCTGGTGGAATAAACCATAAAAAATACTCCTAAAATTACACCAAGGAGTAAAGAGAACCCAAATATGCTGGGGAAGGGGAGGAGGGGAGTGGTAAAAATCCAAAAAGAAAAGGAAGAACAATCACATCGGACAGAAGGAAAACTGAGCCAATCTTATTAGCAGTTTTGTGACAAATACATCACAATAACAGGCAGATCTATGTTGAGCACGTTAAATAGCTTTGTTTTGCCACAGTGTCCCATGAATTAAAGCATTTAGAGCACCCTGCAGAAACCTCAACAAATAAAAATGTATCTAGCAAATGTACCCTCAGCTGCTTCTCATCCTCAAGCCATTTTCCATTTAACAGGAGGAAAACCCTGGAAAAAGTCTTGGGATTGGCCTGAAAAGTTCTGGCAGGCTGTTTGAACCCACCAAACCCTCCCCACTGCTGCCCCATCCCTGCCTGTGAATGTTTTACAGTCTGCTGCCTCTGAATCTCACTTGTTTTACAAAGCAAGGATTTAAGATGCTGATTGTATTTATTTTATCCCATGATTTTATTTCTTTCAGGAGGATTTTAATGTAACCCAGTCAGAGGACACACAGACAAGACTCCAGATTTGGAACTGGGAGCAGTGGAAGCTGAGGTATTTCAAAGTGAGCGCTAGTTTAAAAAAAATCTGAGTTTAAACGTTACGACTTCCTCAGATTAAGTAGCTTTTTGCTCACCTGCCTTTTCTACTTGTTTCATGTCACTATGCAAAGTAATCAAAGGGGAAACCTAGAGGAACCTTGAGTAATTTCTTCCAATTTGCTTATACCTTCCTCAAAAATAAGCTAATAATACTATTTTTTGGTGTGGAATCTTTAAATAATTCAGTGTCCTGCAGCTGCTTTGACAGAGAAGCCTTGGGCTGAATATCTTGTACTGTTATTTTTGTTCCAAAACGTGCTTTAGTGAGGTGGAGGGAGGCAGTTCCTGGGGGCAGCCCTGTGCTTGGTGAGGTCCTAAGTAAGAATTGCTCAGAAAGAGAGAAAAACAAATCTAGAGAAGATTTGAGGGAGTTAAATTCCACATCTTGGTGTGCACAGCAAACTGTTGGTGAACTCCCTAAAAACCAAGGCTGTCCTAACATAGGGAGCTCACCAAGATCCGAATAGCTTCTTCCTGGAATTCACCAAGATCTGAACAACTTCTTCCTGGAATCCTCCGATTTTAAAACTACCCAAAATTCCACCATGGTTTCCTCTACTATCAGATCTTATTCTTGTGTTCCCCTTTTGAGCCATAAAAATGGCAAGTGGTTCCTGGGAAAACTACTTCCTACTGAATGAGTTCTACCTACTCGGTACCAAATGTAACCTGCAATTCTAGCAGCTGCAGAACAGACACAATTTTTAGCTTTCCCTTTTAATCCTTCCCCACTGAGAAAGCGGTGAATTATTTCCTTAAAGCACTAAGGAAGCTCCTGACACCCTCTGCAAGGGGTCGGGGGCTGCAATCCTCCTGTCCTGAGGGGAGGATTGAGACCCTGAGAGAACTGCGACCGTGAAGGGAAAATGAGAACCTGAGGGGAAATTGAGACCGTGAGGGGGAAATTGGGGACCCTGAGGGGAAAATTGGGACCGTGAAGGGATGGCAGCAACCCTGAGGGGAAAATTGTGTCCTGAGGGGGGAGAATTGACACCGTGAGGGGATGGCAGCGACCCTGAGGGGAAAATTGGGACCGTGAAGGGATGGCAGAAACCCTGAGGGGGAAACTGGGTCGTGAGGGGACGGCGGCGACCCTGAGGTGGGAGGATTGAGACCGTGAGGGGATGGCAGCGACCCTGAGGGGAAAATTGAGACCGTGAAGGGACGGCAGCGACCCTGAAGAGAAAATTGGGTCGTGAGGGAGCGGCGGCGATCCTGAGGGGAAAATTGGGACCGTGAAGGGATGGCAGGAACCCCGAAGGGGAAACTGGTTCGTGAGGGGACGGCGGCGACCCTGAGGTGGGAGGATTGAGACCGTGAGGGGATGGCAGCGACCCTGAGGAGAAAATTGGTCGTGAGGGGACGGCGGCGATCCTGAGGGGAAAATTAGGACCGTGAGGGGGAAACTGGGACTGTGGGGGGATGGCGGCGATCCTGAGGGGAGGATTGAGACCGTGAGGGAATGGCAGCGACCCTGAGGCAAATACTAAGACTGTGAGGAGATAGCAGCGAGGCTGAGGGGAGAACTGCGATCCTGAGGGGAAAACAGCCCCCGTAAGGGCCAGGTCTGGAGGGATCCGCTGCCAGCCTGATTCGCGCGGGCAAGCCGCAGCCCCTGGTTCCGCCCGCTCGGGCGCCGCGGCGGCCCCGACTCACGTTTGACGAGCTCCTCGGGCGCGAAGCCCGCGGCGCAGCTGGTGAGCAGCGCCAGCGGCCGCGCCGCCGCCGCCATGGCGCCCGCGCCGCGCCCCTTCCGCCGCGCCGCTACCACCGCCCGCGGGGGGGACGGCGGGGGAGGGAGCGGGCGGAGCGCGGGCTCGGCCCCCGCTGGATGCGCCGTCCCCCCCTCCCGGCGGCGGGGCGGATGGTGCGGCCCGGCCGGCGCGTCCCGTTGCCGGGCGCGGCGGCGCCGCCATGGCCGGAGCGGGGCCGGCGCTGCCGGGTGGGTTCGGACAGCGCCGGGAGCGGCTCCTCCCGCCCGGACCGGCCTCTCCCGCCCCGCCAGAGCCGCCGGGACGCCGTGGGGTGTCCCTCAGCAACCTGGGGTGTCCCGCGGCACCGCGGGGTGTCCCTCGGCTGAGGCGCGGCGCGCCCGGTGCTGCTGTGAGGGGCCGGGCGATGCGCTGAGGGGCAGCGGCGTGAGGGAGCTGTGGGTGCTGCTGCGGGGTTCGGGAGCTCGGAGGTGTTTGTTAACGTAAATAACACGGGTTTGACGTGGGCTGTGCTCTCCTCGCAGGCTGCCTGGAGTTTGTGTCTCTCCTAAAGGGTTTTGAGATCCCCCGCCCCGTGAAAGCACCTGCGTGAGGATACATCATTCCTTAAGCGGAGAATCGCAGTCCTGAAGTTTATTGTCACTGCTTTGTGAGGTTTGTTTGAAAATTGAGTTTTTCCAGCTTTTCTGCAATCAGTGAGTTTAAGTAATTGGCTTTGTAGTCTCTTATAATAGTACAGAACCGTATAAATATCTGCATGGATATTTTTTTTCCCGTATTTAGGAATAATTTAATTTGAATTAAATCCTACCTAACCCCATGGGGTTTGGTTGCAGGTATGATTTTTGTCCCAACTTGCTTTTTAGATTCAGGAAGACCTTCAGAAGCTTAAAATGGAAAAAACTAACGTGAAGGGAAATGCAGAAACCATGGATATTTGTGACCTCAGAAACGCAACTGAAAGGACTGAACTTGGGCTGAGAGTAAGTAAAATAGAGCAGACCTAGAAAATTACTCTGTTTTTAAAGTCTGTGTTAATAATTCACTCAGGCCACTTATTTTTTGAGTTACAAGATCCCTTTCCAATCAGCAGCTGATGAGATTACTCAGAGATTACAGTTCAGAATGATGCCTCCCTTTTTGGGTCATCAGAATTAAATGATCTTGGTCAGCCAAAATCAGATTTTTAGTCTGACAGAGACAAAAAGTTTATCAGTTTTTCAGTCAAGCAAAGACCCGGTTGCTTAATGAACTGAGTTAAATAAAATTAATATCCCCTGTATCTTTATAATAGGCTAAAAATAATTTTTTCCTTCACAGAAGCATGCTGAAAATTATTTCAATGTTACAAATGGCCAAGAGTTAACTCTTTCTTCAGCTGGTAATAAAGAAGGGAATTCCAAAGAGCCCCCTAAGTGGTGAGTGAAACAGATGTTTATTGCAGCAAGACACAAAAACTGAGGTGACGTAATCATGTAAAGCAAATGGGAGTATTGACCTAGAAAAAGTTCGTTTAGTCCTTTCCTTTTTCGATTTTAAGTTAAAAAAAAATACAAATGTAAATGCAATTCTAGGTGGCTCCAGCAGTGCTCTGCTAACTCGTGTGGTTAAATGCAAGTTTAAATAGAAATACAGTCGTTTGGGTGGAAGCAGAGTGGGTTTAACGGGTGAAATCCAAGCAATTTTTAGGAAGTTCACTGCCTGTTTCTCTCTCCACCAGGGATCTTCCTTTTGGTGCCTGTCAGGAGCAGCTGGTTCTGCCACCAGTTGAGCCCCTGACTGTGCAGAGGTGCAGCAGATCAGCCCCACGTGTGTGCCAGGGCTCTCAGGTCTGGAACCACACCCTGATCCCTCTGCCAGCAGCCACATTCCAGGAGTGCTTGGTGTCCTGTGCATCCCATAATGCTCTGACTGCCCACAGAGTCAGGGTTTGGTAACACCCCATGGTGAAAGTGTTAAAAAAATCAGCAGAAGGAGCAGCTGAGACAGGAACCTTCTCCCAGCCCAGGATAACATTTAAATGGGGAAAGATTCCAGAGTCATCCATGCAGGTGTGGAACTGGCATTTCCCACCCAGCCAGGCTGACAAAGCCACTTTTATCAGGTGGTTTTTTATTAATAGTTCCAATTCTTGTGACCCCTGTGTGGCAGTTTTTCTCCCTGCATTGATCATTTCCCTGTCAGCCTGAGTGAGGAGTTTGCACTGGGAATCATCGCTGTTTTAATTGAAAGGTGCTCAATTCCCCCCAATTCCATTTTTTTAATAGCAGCAGCATTTCCTCCCTGCATAACGGTGTGTTATAGTAATAAAATAAATACCACAAAAGCACTGATGAGGTGAAAATTGAACTTTCTGTCTCTGTGCAGCCATGTGGGTAAAAGAGTAATTGGCTTGGATAATAACTTGTGTTCTTACAGCCCCAAATCTAAATGAGCATCTCATTGATACATCTGCTTGTAATTACCATCAAAAGAAGAGAGAATATATAGTGCAGATAGATAAATTAAACCATTTTTACTGCTTTACAAAGTAGCACAGTTGTTCAACAGTTCAGGTACCCATCTAATGATTCTTGAACATTTTATGGCATATTTTATTTGTAAAAATTGGAATTTTCTTAGATTTATTTTTATGTTCATACAAAAGAATGTGCACCAAAACATTTTCAATTTAAGAAACTTCTACTGTAGTAAAAACATAGGGCATCCCTCTGTGTTTTATAGGTATGCCTTAGGTATTTCTTATAACAAGAAGAAACTTGTAAAGTCTTTTTCTGGCCATTGGGATTTAAATCATCATGGTTTTTATTAGCAGAATAGTCAAACTCATTCCATGCAGATCACAGAGTGCATTATGTTTTAATTCTGATTACTATCAGGCTTTTTTAATTCCTCATTTACTAATAATCAGGTTCTGTGCCTGCACTGATGTATCTATTTGGATAATAGTTCCAGTCCTTACAAACTTTTCCATCTAAACAAAGGCTCTTTGCTGTTTGCCCAGTTCAGTGTGGAGTCAAATAATACAAATTTTTATCATCATTTTGCACATTTACAACATGTTAGCTAGTTTCTGCTTCTAAACACTTCAACCCCAGTGCAGTTATTTTAGGGTTATCCCTATTCTATATTTCAGCAGCAGGTGGAAATGGATTTTAAAATTATGCTTGGCCCGGAGAACGTGGATAATAAAGCTGGTTTAAAACATCCCAACGATGAGACCAGGCTGCCACTTATAGCTAAGAAAAAATCTGCTCCTGTAAGTAACTTTTATTATTTTATGGGTTTATTATATGCATTGCTTTGCACTATTAAAGTTCGTATTTATCAGTCCTAAATAAAATTTTACATGAAAGTAATTTCCTCATAATTTCCTGCTTTTTGACATGGGTATTTAAAGATCAAAACATTTTGGGTGGTAATACTGGGAAAAAGAAATCTGACATGGAACAGGTTTATGTCCCAAGATCCCAATCCAGCAAAAATTTGGATATACAAGGGATGTGCATGGTCAGGAGTGTCAGGAAAATCAGGCAGAGGAGATCAGCTGGAGCTTGGGGACTTCTGGGTGTGACCCAGAGATGCAGGAAAAACAAAAAGTCCATTCTCCTCTCTGCTCTGTGCAAGATGAAGTTTTGATTTTCCCAAATTTCCCTCCTGCAACTGCAAATTTCAGTTCTGCTGCCAGTTCTGCAATTGTTCTGCAGCAGTTGAATGTTAAGATGATATTTTTAGCAAAGAATGCGTTAAAAAAAAAAAAAAAAACAACCCAAAAGAGAACAGGCACAGCCATCCCTCCAAAAAATCAATTATGTTCACAAATTTAGCACAGCACTGCGGTCCACACAGCCAATGGTTCCCACATGGGGATGCTCTTCTAAAATTTAATTTATGTGGCAGAAACATCCTGCAGCAAGGCCAGTGCTCTAGGAGAGATTCTGGGATGTTTGGTTTTAAACAACATAAAGAGAATCTGTGAATGGCACAGTTGTGAGCTGCCACTTATAAAAAAAAATGATTTTTGGAAAGCTGTTGCCCTGACCTAAGAGGTGATTTGTCTAACCCTGTGATAATAGAGTTAATTAGAAAAAAGCATCATGGCTAATAGCTTTTTAGAACCACTCTAAAACACTCACAGAGAGGAATATTATCCAACTGCAGAGAGCCATGTGTTGTACCACTCTCCCTGAAACATGCACTGAACCCAGCAAACTTATTGGGGATTTAAATTGCAAGCATTTAATGTGAATTACTCAGGCTCCCAGATACATATTTACAGTTACTGAGGAGCTGACAGGCTTAAAAACCAAGCAGATTTTAAAGGATTTTTTTAAGGATTTTTAAGCTGGTACTGATGGATCTGAGTTTCTGGGAGAGCTAGAGAGCAGTAGGTCAGGAAAGGGACAAAGCTTGATTTTTTCCAAATATGTGGCAAACAGTTCAGAACCATCTCTGGTTACTTTAAGCCTCTCTATTCTCTTCAAAATTTTCCCATTTTAGGGCACAATGTGTGATTTGGGGTGTTCTGCCTTCTCTGGCTGTAAAATTTTTGCAGTTTGCTGTGATACGTTTGTTGTTAAAGGTGGTGTCTACCAGCACTTAAGGAAGGTATTTTGTATTATTATACATGATATATATGATTATTAGTGGTAGGGACAATGAATCTGCGTGCAGCTTCAGGTCTAAAATGCCGTTAATTCGGATGAAATTGGGATTAAAATTTTCGATTAAATGGAGATTAAATCGCTGCGGAAGGGAGGGGCGGGCGGCCGGCAGGGGGCGCTGTCCGTACGCGCACGTCCCGCGGGTGTCCGCGGGGTCCCCAAAAAAATCCCCGGACAAATCCCCCGTCCCCCGAGTAAATTAAAATCAAACTCCCAACTAATTGCTTGTCTCGAGCCACTCAGGAGTTTTCAACGAGCGGCTGAAAGAGTGGTGAGGTTAAAAAGTCGGGGTTGGAGGTGACCTGAGGGGTCAAGCGCAAATCTACCCGGACTTTTTATTGTCCTGCCATTCCAGTAGCTGGAAAAATTATTAGTCA